GCAACCCAGGTACATGCCCTTGACTGGAATCGAACCTGGGACCCTTCAGTCCGCAGGCTGACGCTCTATCCACTGAGCCAAACCAGTTTCGGCATATGTCTCATTTTAAGTACTTTCCCCCCCATAGCTTTCCTATATATTTTCTTAGTACTTTTGCAAATCCTATCATTTATTTCCCTATTTAGTTCATTCAAAATCATCTCCCTTTGGAGATGACATTCTTCTTAACATTCAGGCTCTTCACCTAGAACAATCTATCGTGTATAATAAAAGGCTAATACGGAAATCAACCAAACGGCAGAATGACCAGTCATTATGATGTGCACTGACCACCAGGGGGAAGATGCTTAATGCAGGAGCTGCCCCCTGGCGGTCAGTGTGCTCCCACAGTGGGAGCGCTGCTCAACTGATCAATGGGCCAGAAGCCGGGCGGCACAGTAGGGCCGGATTGAGTAGGAGCAGCACAGCAAGGCTGGGGCTCAGGCTCCTCCCTGGCCACCTGCTGCTTTGAGCACTACTACATCCCTCAGGGAATGTCAGACTGCCGGTTTTGGCCATGGTGATGGATTGAAACTGGCAGTCTGACATCCCCCGAGGGGTCCCGGATTGCGAGAAGGCGCCGGCCAGGCTGAGGGACCCCACTGGTGCAAGAATCCATGCACCGGAGCTCTAATCAAGAATAAGCAGTAATACCAATTCTCTTTTGCGCATGGGGTACTACATTTGAAAAGGCAAACAATAATTTGCTAAGAAAACACCAGGCCTATACATGTAGAAGCTCCAGTTTCCGACTCTTCTTTAGGTTATCTGTACAGGGGTTGGGAGAGGGTTACTTCAATTAGGGAGAAATTCTATCTCCTTGTACATTTTTCTTCTGTCAGAACACCCTTCATGATTTTTTTTTTTAATTATAGCTCCTTTGAAGATTACAAATCTCCATTCAAAAGGATCTAAACTAAGGCGATCCAAATTATCTTCTTTTCTGTATTCATTCCAGAATGAATATTTGTTGAGTGCCTTCTATGTTATAGGCACTTTTCTAAGCACTGGAGTTACAAAGATTTATAATATAGTGGGGAGTGAGACCCATGAATTAAAAATTGCAGTGTGGTGGGCAATCGTTTCCAGGAGTAAGCTCATGCTTCCCCCACCCTCTTCTTCCCCCACAGACATAATCTCCTAAACTTTTAAGGGCCCCAGGAGGCTTGCAACCAAGGGTAGCAATAGGCAGCAGCAGTTCATCCCAGACAGACCCCCTGAACCTGTCCCCAAGGCCTCCATTTCTCACTTCTTAGTGAGCCAAAGCAGACCAGCCTAGGCTCATTTCCCAGCCCTTCTTGTTTCACTGTCCCCAGTGTTAACATAAAAACATTCAAATCTGTAAAGAATTTTTGTGAGTTTATTTGAGCCAAACTGTCGACAATCGCCAGGAAGCAGAACCTCAATGGATTGAGATAATGCTCCTGAGAATGGTGGGTTACATCTATATTTATACATTGCAGTCAAAGGAAGGGACAGTAGGTGGGTTACATGAAATCCATTGGTGATAGGCTAGAGAGGCGGGAGAAAGCAAAGCGGGGGACCCCTGGGATTGGATAAAAAGTAAAATGATAGACACATACTTAGGTGGGTGCAGGAACAATTAACATGATAACAATGAAAGAATTTGTGGTATCTGTCCTGGCACCCAGGCACATTAGGTTGTGCCCCGAGGAGTCCAGAAAAGGGAAGTTACAAGTTACCCAGACATTTCAAGGGTATGTTATTATAGATGCAAAAAGACAGATAGACTCAGCTAAGGTAAAGGCTGACCTTGTCAGGGAAGATATCCGCCTAGGACAGTGATGGTGAATCTATGACACGCGAACTCATTTTTTTTTTTGGTAGATTTTTCTTTGTTATTAAATGGCATTTAAATATATAAAATAAATATCAAAAATATAAGTCTTTGTTTTACTATGGTTGCAAATATCAAAAAATTTCTATATGTGACACGGCACCAGAGTTAAGTTAGGTTTTTTCAAAATGCTGACATGCCGAGCTCAAGAGGTTCGCCATCACTGACCTAGGATGTAACCACCCGCCGTAACTGCTTTTAGTTAAAGTTTCATTTCAGACCATCCTTTGTGGTTACTCTAGGTCTCTGAGTTTGCAAGACCGCCATGCAGGCCTTCCCTGAGCTTGTCAGGTTAGCATGTGGCCCCTTTTGTCCACACCAGCTTTAATAAACATCCTCTAAAACTCAAAAAAAAAAAATTTGCAATGTAATGTGCTTTATTTTTATTTTTTATTTTATTACAAAAAGTTTGGGAGAGAACACACCCCATTTCCAAAATACAATTTTAAAAAAGAAAAGAAAAAAACACAAAACCTACCGACACCCATGCAGTGAACACCTGGAAACTGGTTCAGAATGCTGCATCTGATGGCCAAGTGTCAGTAGGGGCCAGATTTGGTTTCCGCTGGTTAAGGCTTAGGGACTGACCGCTATGGTAGTTTTCAGATGCAAAGTGACTGCAAAAAATAAAAACAGGTACATATTTAAAGAAGCACGTGGCACCTCTTCCATCGTTTATACAAATGTGCCTTTATACAAATTTTGGCCTTTGCAAAAACAAAAGGGTTGGGGCGGGGGGGGGGGGGGGGGGCAGGGGGGGCGGGGGGAGTTAACCAATTCCGTTAGGGAGGGCAGCTCAAGATAAAATAAAGCAGAGGTGAGATTTGGCGGCGAGTACACAGGGCCGGAGGAAGAGCGGACTTTTCAATCCTTCTGGAGGTGAACGCTGCCCCTCACATTTTCTTCAAAACAAAACCAAATTGGAAAGGGAAAAAAGAAAAGTAGCCCCAAACTAAAATCGGCCACAATGGATTTGAGCTTTTTGCAGAGGAAATCGAACCCAAAAATAGGACCCAATCCGAGGGGAAAGGGTGGCGGCAGAGAGGTCAGGCGGAGGAGTGGTGAACTGCGGCCGCACAATGAAATTAATGAGATTAACCAGGGCAATTGGGACGCCCGCTCAGCTCCCGGGCCCCGCCAGCGGTGGGGTGGCTGAATGGGAAAAGTTAGGTTAATCTCATTAATTTGCAATCCACAATCTCTGTTCAGGCCCCCTAACCCTTCTCCTTGGCACCTCTGCCCCTCCTCCCTTATAAAGCCCCCAATCCCCCACCCCCAAAGGAACAGAAAGGGCCAAATCTGGTTCTGTTTGTCATCTGCATATTACCAGGAACTAAATCCAGGCTGACGTCGACTCAGTATCCTAATGTGCTTTAATAGAGGACTGCAGCCCTGGCCAGGGTGGCTAGGTTCCACGTGCAGGAGCAACCCATCGTGTGTCTCTCACATCAATGTTTCGCTCTGTGTGTCTGTCCCCCTCCCTTCCACTCTGTCTAGAAATCAAAATCAATGGAAAAAATATCCTCGGGAGAGGATAAATAAATTAATTATTAATTAATTTTTAGAAATAGAAAAATGTATACAGTAGTGTGAGAGCACAGAGGGGGCAGGTTCTACTCTGTTTCAGGGTTATCTAACTTTTCCCTGAAAGACTCACAGGAAGGATGACAACAGTGGAAAAGAGGCTTTCATTTCAGAGGGAATCCTGTGTGCAAAGGCATCGATGTGTAAGAGGAGCTGCTGAGCTAAGGACAAGAAAAGTTTGAGGGGGAGGGAGGAAGAGTGGCGACAGCTGTAAGTAAGTGTGTAGGCGGCAGATAGAAAGAAGGTGCAGTTGAGGGCGCGGCTTCCTGAAAGCACTGATTTTCTTTGTGAAGAAGCAGGCGGTGTTGTCAACGATGAGGGGACAGGAATGCAGAAGGGCACTTAAGGGAACTGCTGAAGTTGCGGAAAGGGGAGGTGAAGCTCACCGTGCTCGTACAGGATTACTGGGCAGTACTGAGAGGCCACCTGTAACATAGCTGTTAAAACTTCTCAGCCCATGTAGCTAACTCTGACTATCCTTTCTTGTCTCCCCTTGATAGAATCTTCTAACTTCTACCTTCTGTGGCAGTATCAATTTTTCTACAGTCCAAGGTTCTTGATATTCTTGATAACTTCTCTATTTGAGATTATTCTCACTGCAAATTCATAACCTGTACAACATTGAAGGCTTCCAACTACAGTTAATACATACAAGGATTTTTCCATCTGCTCTCATTTACATCATAGCATCATGAAGGAGCATTGGATGTTTCTTATTCATTAGACTAGAATAGTAGTTGGCACATAGTCGGCTGTTAATAAATATTTCTGATAAATGAGTGCATGAATGAATAAATAAAGTGTATTTTGCAAAGAAGAAAAATTGCTTAACCCCAAGATAGTGAGTAATGTTTTATTTGTGTGTGTTTTTTTTCTATTTAAAAAAATCAAACAAAACAAGAAGCCTGGGTGACTCCAAACCCTACCTCACTCCAAAGTTAATGAACTCTGCTTGTTCATTTTTTTTTATATATATATATTTTATTGATTTTTTACAGAGAGGAAGGGAGAGAGATAGAGAGTTAGAAACATCGATGAGAGAGAAACACCGATCAGCTGCCTCCTGCCCATCTCCCACTGGGGATGTGCCCGCAACCCTGGTACATGCCCTTGACCGGAATCGAACCCGGGACCTCTCAGTCCGCAGGCTGACGCTCTACCCACTGAGCCAAACTGGTTTCGGCTGCTTGTTCATTTTTTAAAAATATGTTTTTATTGGTTTTTAGAGGAAGAAGGATAGAGAGATAAAAACATCAGTGAGAGAGGAACATCATCAATTGGCTGGGGATCGAACCCACAACCTGGGCATGTGCCCTGATCGGGAATTAAACCACGACCTCTATGGTTGCTGGGTCAAAGCTCAACCACTGAGCCTCACTGGCTGGGCCAAACCTCTGCTTGTTCAGAACACACACCTACTCCATCCACTGCCATCCTCCACAGAAAAGTTGCGTTGAAATTGCAAGTTTTACTCTATATAGTTCATATGTTGTAACCTGAAAAGGTATTTCTAATTCAGTTTTCAGGCAGACCCCAAAAAACCCATTGGGGGACACATTCTCGCTCATGCATCAACAACAAGAATAAGCTTGCGAAAGGGAAGAGGAGAACTAAGAATTGCCAAGATTTATGACAGGTAAATATTTTCCTTTTCTTAATCAGATTCTTGTACATGTGGTATTAAATGAAATTGTCTCTCTTGAGAGGCTGTAATTATACTGCTGGAAGATACTACATTGTTTGAATTTCCTTCTCAAAAATTATTCCACTAATTGGGAAGGCCTTACTGTGCACTAGGTTCTAGGGATTTAGGGATTCTATTGACAAAAAGACGGTCCCTGGCCTTCCAAAGCTTACAGTGAAGCTAGATAATGAAGTAATTCCAATTGAAGTGTGGTTAAGTGCAGGAAAAGTTCAAGGTATGGCAGGAATATGTTCTCCTTTCTTCCTGCCAGTTTTCTTTTCAAGTTTCAGTTTAAACATCACTTTTCCTGACCCTTGCAGTCTAGGCTATACCCTATATTATACCTTATATTCTTTCACAGTACTTTATTTATTTAAGAATTATAAACAGCCCTGGCCAGTGTTTCTTAGTGGTTAGAGCACCGGCCCACACACTAAAGTGTCACTAGTTTGATTCCCGGTCAAGGGCACGTACCTGGGTTGCAGGTTCAATCTGGCCTGGTCAGGGCATGTGTAGAAGGCAACCAATTGATGTGTCTCTCTCACATCGATGTTTCTTTCTCTCTTTCTCTCTCTCTCTCTCTCTCTCTCTCTCTCTCTCTCTCTCTCTCTCTGTCTCTCTCTGTCTCCCTCTCTCCCTTCTACTCTCCCTCTTAAAAAAATAATTACAAACAATAAATTTTAAAGAGAAACCTACTACATGTCAACTGGTCTTGGTTCTAGGGATAGATCAGTGAAACAAAAAAAAAACAAGGCCCTGCCCTCATACAGCTTACATTCCATTGGTAGTGATTTATAGTATAGCATATGTCATCCTTACTAGACATTAAATACCTTGAGGATAGGGACACTATGCCTGGGAGATCAGAGATGTGCAATATTTGTGACTGACTGATTAGCCATCCCTGAGCAACAAGGCAAAGATGTGTAATAACTCTCTACACTAGGGAGGGGAAAACCACTAAAAAAGAAATCAGATAGCTCTTAATCTTGTTTTTGCTATGAATCAGAGTATTTATTATACATTGTTATTGAATAAATATTAAGTAATCATTTCCCACATCTATATGGTTTTTATACAGACCATTTTGCTTTTTATTGCCTGTCCTTTGGAAGACTATAATATTCAAATGCTGTGTTTTATGGAGCTTCAAAAATCTCTAGAAATTTGCTACAAATGTGGGGTTTTTTGTTACATTAAATAGATAGTAGAATTGTTTCATGTTTTTACTAAAAATTCTTGATCTATATCTTGGACAGATTTCTGTGCTTAGAACTTTCCTAACACTTTTCAACTGATTACATGTGCATCTCCCTCACAACAGGGACTGTTTGGTCCTTTAATGTCCCCAGCATCTAGCAAGCTACTGGGCACATGTAGGAACTCAGTAACTATTTATTAAGTTAAATGAATGTACCTCCATGTTCAGTCATTTATATATTTCATCAAGCCCTCCAAACTGTGCAGGAACAGACAACTCCTCCATTTCTTAAAATCCTAAGAGAATACTAGGGTTCTGCAGACTCAAAAAAGGATAAAGTTATATAGATTAGTTATGTCAAATTTTCATAGATTTGAATAAAAATAGCAAAACTAGATCAGAGTTTAAAATGTCAAAACTTATCTTCTAAGTTTCTAGTCTGTAGCATATAACTCCCTTCTTTCTAGTTCCTAAAGATTTCTCACAAAGAACTTCTTAATTTCAGAACTTTTTGGTATAGAAGATGCTGCTGCTAATAATAATAGCTAACACTCATTGAGTGGCTACTATGTGCTAGGCCTCATGCCAAGTGCTTTATATCTATTTCATTGTTTATAACAACCCTAGAGACAGAGGTCAGTATCCCCATTTCACACATGAGGAAACCAAGGCCCTAAGCAGTTAGGTAACCATTGCTCCTCTACCGTCTATTTTAAACACAGAAGTCAGAGCGATCCTTTGTAAGACTAAGATCATATCTATTCTCTGCTTAAAATCCTCCAATGGCTCCCCATCTTAATTCATAATAAAAGCCCAAATTTCTACAGTGGTTTACAGAGCACATGAATGGCCCCCTGTTCCTGTTCTTCCTGTTCTCCCTGTTCTCCCCTTGCTCACAGTGCTCCAACCTCAGTGGGCACCTTGGTGTTCGATACATGTCAGGCGCAGTCCTACCTTAGGGCCTTCGTGCTAATTATTCTCCCTGTCTGGAATAATCTTTCCCCACATTACCCTTTCTCTGGTTATCTCCCTCACCCCCTTCAAGTCTTTGATCAAATGTTACTTTTCCTCAATGCTTATCTTGATCTCCCTATTTAAAATTGCAACTAGCCTCCTCCCAATTTCCATACTTTGTCGCCTTTAGCTAGCTCTACTTTTTCTTTCCCCGTAACACATAATTTTCTAAGATATCGAATAATATATTTATTATGTCCATTATTTATTGTCTGTCTCTCCCTCCCTCCAAATATTAGTTCCACAATGACAGGGATATTTGTCTATTTTTATTTTTTTACTTATAGATCTCAAGTGTGTACAACAGGGATAATAGCAGATGCTCAATAAATATTTTCTAAATGAGTATATGAATGGACTTGCCCCAAACCGCACAACCAGTAAGGGATGCAATCAGGATTAGAATCTATGCTGTCTAAATCTAGGGTCTGAGCATAACCAATGGACATAAGACACTGGGGGATAGGGGAGGCTAGGGGACTGTCTAGGGTGGGGGGAAAAAATGGACACATATGTAATACCCTTTGTAATACTTTAAGCAATAAATAAAAAAATAAATCTAGGGTCTGCACTTTTAATCATTACACCATTTCTTAGTTTATTAGGGATGATCTATTTAGGGTAGTCATAGCTCTTCTACTATAGCCACCCCCATGTCTTCAACTACTACCTTACACGCATGTAAGATAAAGACATTTCTTGTTAAAACAAAGAATTCCCCAAGAATTGAGCAGAAAAGTGTTCTCAGAAGAATTCCCAGGTGTACAGGAATGACTACAAAAAGGAACCCAGCCCATTTCCTAGAATATCACCATAGTAACCACCCCCATAACTTGCTATAGCTGACCCTCAAGTGTACATTTTTCTCCCAGTTGCTTTCATAACTTCTACATGAATGTTCCTGAAGTACCACAAATGCAACATATCTAAACATAACTTATTCTTTCCCTCTTTCTTATACACAAAACAAGTTCTCTATTCCCAGTTTTTTATTTATGTTATTACCTCTACCTGAATTATTCACATTTCTGCCTCAAAAGCCCTTCAAATGTTATCTATAAAGTCTTTCCTAATTAACCTACCTAACATAATGTCTTCTTTCTTTAAAGTTCTATAACATATATACTGACTTTATGAAACAGTTTATTTGTCATATGTCATAGCTCACCTGTTAAGACTTCTTGAGAATAAGGACGCTGTCTCATTTTTGTGAAATCTGTAAGGTCTAGTACATGCTAAAGTAGGGTTTTCAAAAAGTTAAAAATGTGACTTTCTCGCAAATAAATATAAAATGAATGTGTCAAAGATTTTATTCAATTCTGTAACTAATGAGGAAATCACCAATCAAAGGATATTTTGAGACAGGGATTTATGTAATCAGTCAAAAGAATGCTGAAATAAATTTGCTAGTAAATGCAAAATTGGTTACTCTCCTACCAGCAATAAGTTATAATATTTTAGCCCTAACCGGTTTGGCTCAGTGGATAGAAAGTCGGACTACGGTCTGAAAGGTCCCAGGTTTGATTCCGGTCAAGGGCATGTACCTTGGTTGCAGGCACATCCTCGGTGGGAGCTGATCAATATTTTTCTCCCATCGATGTTTCTAACTCTCTGTCCCTCTCCGTAAAAAAAATCAATAAAATACATATTTTTTTAAATTATAATATTTTATTTTTTTTGTTGTTAATCCTCACCCGAGGATATTTTTCCATTGATTTTTGGAGAGAGTGGAAGGGAGAGGGAGAGAGAAACATTGACGTGAGAGAGACACATCGATTGGTTGCTTCCTGCACACACACCAACCAGGGCCAGGGGAACCTGCAAACATGGTATGTACCCTTGATGGGAACCAAACCCAGGACTCTTCAGTCTGCAGACCAATGCTCTATCCAGTGAGCCAAACCGGCTAGGGCTAAATTATAATATTTTAAGTTGTCTTTTTGGCCCTGGACAGGTAGCTCAGTTAATTAGAGCATTGATCAGATACGCCAAGGTTCGATTTCCGGTCAGAGCATGTATAAGAATCAACCAATGAATGCATCCATAAGTAGAATAACAAATCTCTCTCTCTCTCTCTCTCTCTCTCTCTCTCTCTCTCTCTCTCTCTCTCGTCTCTTTCACCCACCCACCCACCCTTCCTTCCTTCCTTCCTCTCTCTAAAAAAAAAAAAAAAAAAATCAGCCTCACTTTCCTGGCTCAGTGGTTGAACATTGATCTATGAACCAGGAGGTCAAGGTTTGATTCCTGGTTAGAGCACATGCCCAGGTTTGATCCCCAATGTGGGGCATGCCAGAGGCAGCCGATGAATGACTCTCTCTCAATGACTCTCTCTCATCATTGCTGTTTCTCTCTCTCTCTCCCTTCCTCTCTGAAATAAATAAAAAAAATATACTTGAAAAAATAAATCAATAAATGAAGTTATATTTTCTACTGGAGGAAAATCAGTTGCTTCTCTACATAATGAAATTCATTTCCAGTGCTATAGACTGGAGTAATCTGCATTGCTCTCAGACAAGAATCATCTGCATTGCTATTAGTGTTCTACAAATTAACTCTTCCCTACAGAGTTGTAGAATAAAAAAAGTAAAATTTAAAGAACACACAATGAATCATGTACAAATATAAAATATCCAAGTTTATTCAACTCATTAATGCAGTAACTAATAAAATTTTATAACTAGATCAAAAGAAAAAGCAAATTACCATACATATGCAATCAAATAAGGAACACTGAAATGAATTATAAATTGATAAGAACTGGGTTACAATGTCCACAGGACAATAATCAATTACATGCATCCTCAAAATTGACATTTCTGTGGACAAGAATAATTCATATAACTCATAGTTTCCTACAACTTACAGAGTTGTAAAATAGCTCAAAGACAATGAAAAGCACAGTTCTCATAGAATTGGATAACCTGGAAAGATGTGCTAGCCAACCTGTTTTTTCCACTGAAGTTACTCAGTAGTCTTTTAGTTCATTTCAGTCTTTCAGTTTTCCCCTACTTAGGTCTAGTCAATAAAAGGTGCATACCCCTTTAGAATCAGGTAAGCCCCTCAGCGTCTGCTACACAATGCCTGATCGCACACTGAAAGAATATTCAATTATCCTTTTTGCCTATTTCTAAGTTTGGGGTAATTTTTCTTGACATTCAGAATCTTACATATAGAAGTTGTTCAGGAGCATTTGAGATCTTGTTTCCCAGCATGTCCTGTTTGGCTCAAACTTTCATAAGATTTAGAGAGAAAAAATAAGTTGCTCAGTAAATGTTTGAGGGTTGATACTTGTAAATTCTGTAGTCCACATTTAGCTGTACCAACTCTGAGATGTCTCTGGAAAATCATACTGAAGGAGTATGATGCCTGTGACATGAATATAGTATTTATAGAAATAGAGCTTTTTATAAACTTGTTCCCTTGCATTCTGTTAGCCCTGAGATGCCTGAAAATGAAGCCACCTTCGCAATAACTGCTGGAGGAATTGGGGATGCCAAGGAGTAGGTGGTGAATTGATGCAAATTGCTTCTTAGTGCTTATTAGGAGATGAAGAAATAGAAAAGCAGTCTCACATTTTAGATCTTGATTTAAGAATTTGTTTTTTCAACATGTTATTAAAGGAAAGTTGGCAAGAGATTTAACTCATATTTATCTAAAAATGTAAAAAGTTCTTGATTTATAACTTTACATTGTATGTCAATTCATGGATATATATGAATGAATAAACCTATCAAAATAGTTGGGGCTCTAGCTGGTTTTTCTCAGTGGTGAAGCATCAGCCCATGTACCTCAGTTGCATGCTCAATCTCCAGCACCATACCCTAGCCTGATCCCCAACCCAGTTGGGGCGCTTGTGGGAGGCAGTCAATCGATGTTTCTCTCTCTCTCTCTCTCTCTCTCTCTCTCTCTCTCTCTCTCTCCAGTTGGGGCGCTTGTGGGAGGCAGTCAATCGATGTTTCTCTCTCTCTCTCTCTCTCTCTCTTTCTCCTCCACTTCCCTTCCACTCTAAAACTAATAGAAAAATATCCTCTGGTGAAGATTAAAAAAAATAATAACTAGTTGGGGAAAGGGTACCTGATTCTCTCACTTTAGCTTTCTTTTTTTAATTGTGTAATTCCATTTATGTGAAACTTCCAGAATAGGCAAATCCATACAGACAGAAAGTACACTAGAGTGTGCCAGGGCCTGGGGGGAGAGACTGCTAAGGGTAAGAGGTCTCCTTTTGGGGTGTTGGAAATATTCTGGAACTAGAGGTGATGGGTGCACAACACTGTCAATGTACTAAATCCTCTTGAATTGTACACTTGCAAATGGCCAAAATAGTGAACTTTTGTTATGTGAATTTTATCTCAAAATTAAATAATAAAACACAGTGGTCTGATTCTAACATGTACATTTCTTTATCACAAAAGAAAAAAGCAGTAAATGACAGCATCAGGGGCAGGGGATGATCAGTCATGTCACAGGAGGGGGGAAGCTGGACATCTGGAATCCTGGAGATACCGGGAGTGGGGAGACTGGAGGGAACTGGGGGAGCAAGCCTGCTCCACCTCTGCGTTCACCGGATCGTGTACTTGTCCCACTTCTTCTCGGGGTCGTAGGGTTCCCAGCGGCTGGCGGGGAAGATGTGCTTGTTCTTCTCGTACCAGCTCCTCAGCACCACCTTGCCCGCATGTGACTCGTCCTTCTCCACAGTGGCGTCACTGAGCAGCCGCACATCATCATGAACGTCGAAATTAAAGAGTGGGCCACTCTTCCCTCGTGCCTTGGTGACGATGAAATCGTAGAAGCTGTGGTGGTGGGGTATGATTAGGTCCTCCTTGATGTACATGAGCTGCTCCACCCCTGCTGACCTGAGCTCGCTGAAGTCCTTGCGCAGGATCTCGAGCGCCTTCTGCAGGAACTGCTGCATGGTGTTGCCTTTTTTCATCTTGACTGTCCGGCGGTGCCCGGAGCCATCCCAGTAACTGAAGGTGATTTCAATCTCCTCACTCTTGATCTTCTCCTGCTTGGCTTCCCACTCTTGCCGCAGCTCTTCCCGGAGCCGATTCTCCTCCTCCTCGCGGTCGCGATCAGGCAAAAAGCTTGTGTCCACATCGGGGTTCTTCCCCAATTTCCTCTTCTTGGCGGCGATCTCTTCCCTTTCCAGCTCCTCCTCATCCAGGGCCACCTCCTCCAGCTCCTCGCTCACCTCCTCCTCTTCACCCACCGTGAAGGACAGGCAGGAGATCTTCCGCTTGGCCTCCTTTTTGCGCTCCTTCTCGCGCAGCTTCTCCAGCTTCAGCTGCAGCTCCTTGGACTGCTCCTTCTTGGCCAGCTGCTTCTCCCGCTCCTTCACCAGTGCCTCCTGCTTGGCCTTCATGTCATTCAGGGTCACCAGCCCCACGGTGCTGGACTTGAGCTCCGCCTCCACGGCGTCGTAGTGCGCAGAGAACTTCTTGTCAATGTTGGATTTCATTATGTTCTCCTCGGCGATCCGCTGCTTCATCTGCTCCATTTGCTCGCGCTGCTTCTCCCGCTTCTTCATCAGGTGCATGGCGCGGCCCGCCTCGCTCGCGGCGCCCTTGTACTGAGCCATGGCGACAGGGGAGACGGAGGCGGCAGCGGCGACGAAGGCGGCAGCGGAGACCGAGGCGGCAGCGGCGACGAAGGCGGCAGCGGAGACCGAGGCGGCAGCGGCGACGGAGGCGGCAGAGGCAGCGGAGGCGGTAGCGGCAACGGCGGCGGCGGGGCCGCGGCGACAGCAGACACCACAGCCCGATAGAGTAAATGGCTGCGGCGACCGCGGCGTACGTGCCGCCAGCTGACGTCGGCGCCGTGACGTCGACTACTAGGGGACACGCAGGCGCGAGCGCCCCGCCCCGCCCCTTCCCGCCCCGCCCCCTCTCACGTTAGCTTTTTAAAGGGAACCACTACGGAAGGGAAGTCCTGGAGCTCAGAAATGTCCGCCCTCCATCAGGTTCCATTTCCAAAGGAGGGAGACATTTGCGAAAGAAAAGTTTACAGGACACACACAAAACGCTTTTTGTTAACTTAGAGTATCAAACAGCACATTCAGCTTTACAGCAACAGAAAAGAAACATTAAACTAAGCTAGATTTTAAATCATTTGACATTTTGACAAGTTGAAATTACTTTTAAAGAATGTCATTTTAATATTATATATTATTTTTTATTCATTTCAGAGAGGAAAGGGGAGTTTAAAAAAAAAAAAAAGCCCCGTTGCGTGGCTCAGTGGTTGAGCAATGACCTATGAACCAGGAGGTCAAGGTTAGATTCATGATCAGGGCACATGCCTGGGTTGTGGGCTTTTTCCCCAGTGTGGGGGGTGCAGGAGGCAGCTGATTGATGATTCTCTCTCATCATTGATGTTTCTATCTCTCTCCCTCTCTCTTTCTGAAATCAATAAAATATATATATATATTTTAATTCAAGCTCTGAAAGTACCATTTGTTACAGAAGATACTTGATCATCCATTGTCATTCACTCACTAACTGTATATTGAATGCTAAGTGATAAAGAATAGACAGGGAAACTGATTTCTGTTCTCAAAGTATGTGTGCACTAGTTAAGAGAAAAGACTAATATTTATGGAGAATGAGAGAACAAATGATTATATAGTCAGTAGTGTGGTCTTGGATTGTAGGGTTCCAAAGATAAAGCCTGCAGGACAGCATGTTAGAAGCTGGGATTTGCAAACAAACAAGAGACCAACCAAACAAGCAGAATTGTTCACAGTGTGGGGTACTGGGAAACTAGAGCTTTTTTTCATTTTACATTTCTTAAACCACAGAACTGCTCCCCTGAATAAACAAAGATCAAGTCATCTAAGAGCAGATTTTTTATATTCTGCAAGGCCATTTAAGAAATGGCTTCTTTTATAGAAATAGAATGTTTGCTGACTTCAGGTAAATCAACCCCTGGAGAAAACAGACTTACAGTGTAAATACAACCAAAGCCTCCGAAGAAGGAGAAGAAAGAAGAAAGAAGAAAGAAGGAAGAAGAAGAAGAAGAAGAAGAAGGAGAAGGAGGAGGAGGAGGAGGAGGAGGAGGAGGAGGAGGAGGAGGAGGAGGAGGAGGAGGAGGAGGAGAAAAAGAAAGAAAAGACATGGCTTCTTTTAGAATACAAATATAAACACATACTTTTTGTCCTGGAGAAGGGAAAGTTTTGTGACTTGAGAAAAACTGAGCATCTCCTAGCGATTCCCTTGTATGCTGAGCTCTGGAGAGGGGCTGGACTAATTTGTATAGGAGTCCAGGACCTTTTGGTGGGGGGGAAATAAGACTCCTAAGAGTTAAAATTCAGAATATCTTTCTAGGTTAAGCTGAGTAGCCCCCTGCCCCAGACCAGGAGAATTTACCAAGAGATGGGCATTAGTGTTATAAACCAGGGCTCAACACAGGGCCCCCAGTTCTGTGAGGAGGGCTGGTTTTAATATACCATGTGGCTTGGGCTAGAAACCTCCCTAGGTCCAGCCACGCGAATAGGTCCTACTTTGGAGAACAGTAGCTGAGCGTGTGAATGTGAACTAAAAGCCGTAGCCTGGGAGCCTAACTTTGGGACAGCACAGTGCTGTTCGGTGCCCACTGAACTCTTCTAGGTAAGGGTTCCATTTGTCGTCAGTGACCAAAGCATGAGGGCTTTCCAGTCTCCCTCTCCACCAGACGGTGGAAACTGCTGTGGACCCTTATTCTAAAAGGGTGGGAGGGGCTCAAAAGAAAGATTTTATTGTCATGACTCTTGGTTGCAAGCCACAGAAACTCAAACTAGCAAATGCAAGACAGGAATTCATTGGCTCATGAAATGGCAAAATCCAGTAGAGCTGACTCTAGCCACAGCTGGAGCCAAGACTCCAAAGCACGTCATCAGGTCTTGTTCTCCCTGCCTCCATGTCCTGCTCTGCCTGTCTCCACACCGCTATTGTTCTTAGCTTTCCCTACACAGTCGCCAAGGTGCTACTTACAGCTCTAGGCTTACAGCCCACAGCTAGATCCTGCAGAGGTTATTCTTTCTGCGGAAATAAACAAAGACCACCAAATGAGAACAGAGGTATTTATTTAGTTTGCTACAGAAAGAGAATCAGTGACTTTCATTTTCATTTGGTAGAGACTCAAAGTCAGGCAGAGTAATAGCAAAGTTTATAGTGGAAAAATAAAGGTTCCAGGCATGCTTTGATGGAATGTTGTTGGCATGGGAAGCTGGAGGGGTAATCTATTAGAGACACAGTAAAATGGGTAAAGGAACTAACACTGGCATCAGGGAGACATTTTTTAAAAACAGTTATAGCCCTCGCTGGTTTGGCTCAGTGGATAGAGCGTCAGCCTGCGGACTGAAGGGTCCCAGGTTCAATTCTGGTCAAGGGCACATGCCTAGGTTGTGGCTTGATCCCCAATAGGGGACGTGCAGGAGGCAGCCAATCAATGATTCTCATCATTGATGTTTCTATCTCTCTCTCCCTCTCCCTTCCTCTCTGAAATCAATAAAGATATATTTTTTAAAAAAAAGAAAGAAAAGTAGTTACAATTCAATTGCGAGATGATGAAGAATCAAACTGGGGTGGTAGCAATCAGGACCCCAGGCTTCTTTCTGCTTGACCATTCTAGCTCTTGGCTTCCATCCTCACTGTCAGTTCATGGCTTCAATGGTGCCTAGATCTCTAGCCAGAGAAACCAAGTTGGGGAGGCAAGATGAAAATCGGGACAAAAAACAGGTTCCTTCTGGCTGAGTCAGCTCCTGTAAATCCACCCTCTCACACAACACTGTTGCTTACATCTCATTGGCCTGAACTTAGTTACATGGTCATATCTATATGCAAAGAAGGTAGGGAAACAATCTTTTGTTCTAGACAGCAATATGCCCAGCTAAAATTCAAAGTTCTGTAATTAAGGAGGAA